ACCAAAATATATATATATATATATATATATATATATATATATATAAGGACATAGAACAAAAAGTTTAAATTATATACATATATTCTTTATATACATTTATATCAGAGAAATCAATACATAACTTTATTATAATTATAATGATCAGAACACCTTAAGCGTTTTAATATTTATATATATTGATACCAGACAAAAAATATTGATATTATTTATAACAACTATTTAGAGTTTCTATTGCGTCCTGCAATAAATTTAGTGAAATACAAAACCATACATGAAGTTAATTCCTTTCATATGCAATAATCAAGTTATACTTTTATTTTATTATAATTTACGTGAGATCTTCACTTTTTTTTACAAAAAGTAATAAAATTATTATTATTATTATATTAAATAAATGTAAATATTTTTTTTAAATTTTATTGTAGGTAATATTTAGTTTCTTTAGATGATTTTTATTATAAATAGTTATTTTGTTTAAAAGAATAGTTAAATTTTAGAAAAAAAAATCAAATGAAAAATGATTAAATTAAAAAAATCACTTAAAAGATAAAATTAGAAACAAAATGTATACACCAAAAGAGACAATCCTTTCTGTATGATAGTATAGAATTTCAAGTAGATGAGAGAAAATATACAACTAAAGGTTTAATTTTATTTATCGCAAAACTTCAAAATAAAATGAAAAGTTTCATTTCTGATGAATATAATTAAGGATAATTTAGGAAACGTAATTCATTTTTTCACGAAATAACACAATTAATTAAACTTAATTAACTTTTTTCTTTTAACAAGACTTATTTATATTTTGAACCAGTTTATAATAAGGTATTTTTTACAAGTATTTGATTCCAATACATGTAACTAGATAACTAATTTAAATATTGTCATTAATCCTTGTCCTTAATACTCCTTAATAAAATATCCCCAATTGTAAACAACTGTACTTTTGACTTTAAATGCTTAACTATGTGTCTTTGTCCTTACACTTACAATTATTGGTGTATGTTCTGCAATACTATTTAAACTTTTGAATTTGAACAATGTTCTCAAAATATATTTTCATTTTCTATTACTTCACCCTGTGGTTCAAATTAAGCTACGTTTCGCTTTCTTTACCAAAATTTTCACCTTTTTTTCTTCTAAAGTATATCGCAGCCCAACTCAACTACATTCCATGGCTTGCGTAGGTAAATTCAAACTGAATTCTAAACAATGAAAATTTATTTGTTGTTTTATTAAATTTCTCAATTTGTATTAAAGATGTCAAGATTCGAGTATAAAATAAATTCTCTAAAAAAGGGTCATTCTAATTTTACTTGGTGTAAAAAATTTCTGTTATGATATATAAACAATTTTAAATAAAAAATATTTAAACTTACCTAATTCCATTTGTTTAGTTACTTAGCATGTTAGAACCTAGTGATGTATTTGTGATAGGTTACCTATTTGATTATGTTGGTGAAATATTGTCGGATGGATGTCTTCTTTTGATATTTTTCCTTTTTCAGCCTAGGTTATTGTTTGGCTACGGTAGTTTCTGGTTTCATGCTTAAGTCAAATAAGACAGAGTGAAGTTATTGTTTTCAAGGTTCTAGAGTTGGAGGTACTTTTGATTGTATCTTTTTATCAATATCAAAAGTAATGTTTTCATATAATTCATTTTTTTGATAAAATAACTTTATTCATAGAAATAAAATATTTAATAAAAGTATAATTATAATAAAAAAAGTGAAAATTTTCCTCATTTTTAGCTAAATTTTATTTCATAATAACTCTTTCATTTAAAGTTTTAATTTTTGTAAGACTTTTTTTCACCTAATTTGTGATGTAATAACACAAAATAATCGATTATGTGGAGTTGAAAATTCAATTTTTCATCTCTAGAATTAGTTTAATAGAATAAATTATTTCTCTGTCATGTTAAAATAACTTACATTAGATTTATTATTACATCATTAATATTTACCTTGCATTTAACTCTAATCATAATTCTCAATGAATCTCAACCCTAGTCTTCACAAATGTACTACATTAACAACACAAACTGAACATCACCCTAATTCATAATTATAGTTGAGTAATCAGTACACACTACAAAAATATATAAAATTACTAACGGAAATAAATCCATCAGTAAATTTGAGTTATCGGTAAAATTTTACTTATGGATTTTAAAAATTTAATTACCAATACATTACCTATCAATAAGTCTTGATCCATTCACCCGTCATAGCCGTAGATTTGCTAGTATGTGTGGTTATGTGTTCACGAGTTTTGTGTGTGGTTATGTGTTGGTCGGTTTTCAATTGGAAGTTGATTGGGAAGAAGATGAAATGTTGGATGTAAAGATGAAATGTTGGATTGAGAAGAAGGAAGAGAGAAATAAAATGATGACAAAGGTAGGAGGATTTGATTTTGTTGGATAAAAAAAGCACAAAAACAAAAAAATTGAAACCATAAAACAAAGAAGAAGGAAGAGAGATGATGAAGAAGTAGAACCAAATTGCAATATTTACTGACGAAATTTACCAATGTATTTTTCATCAGTAATTATCGACAATTTTTTTTGTTGAAAATTATCAACAAATATAAAATTATGTTGGTAAATATCACCGGCTTCATTATTACTGATGAATTTTGGTTCGACGATAATCTGTCGGATAAAACTAATTATTGATGGATTTTTGACGTTTTCAACTGATTTTGATCGTCAATAATATTTGTTTTTCTCTTAGTGACAATGTCAACCTAACTTCACAAAATCAAAACCAACAATGCCTTTCAAATACACAACATGAAACACAACCAAATGCAACACAAACCTCAACTCTCACAACATAAATAGGTGAACTCAACCACTCATTCACATGTTTTTAATTGTGTATTAAAAGCTTCAACTATTAGTCAATGCATGCAACGAATCTCCCCTGTGCATCTTAAATAATCCAGCCATGAAATCTCTATATGCTACAAATGCATGTCATGCATAATGAAATACCACAAAAATAACACACCATGCACAATGAAAAGGGTGAAAGTTAGACTTATAAATTGAAGACCAAAACTATAATTTTATATGGAATAAGTTGACTTTTCTCTCGCTTATCCCCATTTGAATGAGGTCATCTTTCTTCTCAACCCACAAATCCCTGTTCACATTTCTTTTTAAATTGCTTTATCCAAAAAATAAGAAGTATTCGCTCTTCCATTATAAAATACAATACATTGACTGAACTAAATATAAACTAAATTGAGAATGGAATAGACATTTTCCTTTTTTTTTCAAGATTAGTTTATATATTTTATAAACTTGTTAATTTATCAATAATAATAATAATTATTGTTTTATGTCAACAAGTTTAACGATGATTAAAAGTTAAATGTTAATGATAATTTATAATTTTTTTTCTCCATGACATCTTCAAAGAATACGTGAAAGTTACAAAATATTAAAATAGATAATATTTATTATAATTTAGTGAGTTTTAGTTTTAACATTATTTTTATTATTTTAAAGATTTCAGATTAAGAGTAAAAGTGCACATTTTAATAAAGTAAAAAAAAATTGTTGATGAATCACAAGTTTATTAAATTTATACATTAGAAAAAAAAAGTCTTTTAAATAGCGAGTTTAAAAATTCTATTTTGTTGAGTTAAATGATATTATTGAGTATTTGTAAATAAAAAGAGTTTTCACTCAAAAGAATGTATAATGTAAAACAAATTTATAGTTAAGATATATTTAAAATTAATAAAAATGATAAATTTATAAATTATATGATATGATAAAAATAAAGATAAATAAATACAAATAAAATTATTGTTCCCATGTAAGTGTAATTTGGGTTGATAATAAGGTGACAATATGGCACTTTTGGCGTCATGCATTCACAGACTTTCTTTGGTGGCTTTTGGGGGCCATGGCTTTAGACATTTTTTAAACTTTTACTATGCTTCTTAAATATATTTAATTTTTTTACATTCATTTAATATTATTATTATTATTATTCTTTTAAAATAATATAAATTTTACTTTTTTTATAACTATTTTATTTTTATAAGATATGTAAAAATGTAAATGTATATCCTTGAATCGTTTCTCATATAAATATTACAGCTGTATGATTGGCTAAATCACACAATATGTTGGTCCCATCTCATTTATCTTCACAAGACAATGTCATAAAATGGGACCAAGAGGGATGAAAAAAACTTGAATGATTGGCTCACCCTAGTAAGCAACTTAAGCGCTGCTACCGAAGTTTCTTTTTTCATGAAAATTTATTGCATGTAAATGACATTAACCTAGCAATTAGTATGCCCAAAATCTGAACCTAAATTTTCAAAAGTGAAACATAACTACTTAATTAAACATTTCTATCAATTATTACAGTACAAAGTCATCTCAGTAAATAGGATTCAAGAATCTTTTCCGCCAAAACTTTATAGTGTTTCAAAATATCCTCTCTATGAGACATTGGTCATTAATTTCCTCGGCACAACAAAGCTGGAGGTTTTGCAAACGTGTTCGTACCCAAATGGCTCTACGTAACCAAGATCTATAAGGTTTTATAGATATAATAAAAAATACCAATCAACGGATATGACACACACAAACTTTCTATCTCGACGAAAACTTGCACTCATAAAGGCGACCCACTCTATACGGTAAATGCACCATTCCCATTCTCAACTCTTCTTTCACCTATAAATTTCCCCTCCAAACCACACCAACACAACGCACACAACTTCATTATCTCACTCTCTTTCCCTCATTCTTACTCAGTGGTGTCACTCATGAGAACTCTTCACCACGCTCCAACCCTCCTTAGACCACACAGCACAACCCTCCTTCAATCAACCCAACCCGTACAAAAAATGGACAAAATGATGAACGCCAACATGCCTCAGTTACGATCATCGTCGTCAATGTCACCACCATTGACATCATTGACGAACAAAGTTGGAAAGAGATGGAAGGAATACCAAGGAATGAACAATTGGAACGGTATGTTAGACCCCTTGGACGAGAACCTTCGCGCCGAGATTCTCCGTTATGGCCAATTCGTTGAGGCCGCGTATAAGTCCTTCGATTTCGACCCTTCTTCCCCTAACTACGCCACATGCAAGTTCCCAAAGAGCATACTCTTGGAAAGGTGCGGGTTACGCAACACCGGTTACAGGGTAACCAAACACCTACGTGCAACCTCGGGGATCAAATTACCTAGCTGGGTGGACAAAGCACCGGGTTGGGTGGCAACACAATCAAGCTACATTGGGTACGTAGCAGTGTGTCACAACAAAGAAGAGATCAAACGACTGGGTCGAAGAGACATTGTTGTCGCATTCAGAGGTACCACCACGTGTCTTGAGTGGCTCGAAAATCTTCGAGCCACTCTTACAAACGTGGTTCCATCTGCTGTAACTGGAATCACGGCAGCAGAGCCATGCAGTGTGGAAGAAAACGGAGCCATGGTGGAAAGTGGCTTCCTGAGTTTGTACACGTCCAAGGTGAGTGACAACCCTTCGTTGATGAGCTTGCAAGATATGGTGAGAAAAGAGATTGCTCGGATCCTTAAAACTTACGAAGGAGAAAATCTGAGTTTGACCATAACCGGGCATAGTTTGGGGGCGGCACTGGCGACTCTAGCAGCGTATGACATAAAAAAGAGTTTTCTCCGGCCACCGCATGTGACGGTGATCTCCTTCGGCGGCCCCCGAGTAGGAAACCGGAGCTTTCGGCGGCGGCTGGAGAAGCAGGGGACTAAGGTGTTGCGGATAGTGAACTCGGATGATGTTATAACCAAGATACCGGGATTCGTGTTTGATGAGGTGGAGAAAAAGGAAGGTGACGTGGAGGACAATGGAGGTGAACACGTGGCTAGTTTTCAGGGATGGATGCGGAATCGCGTGAAAGAGGTACAGTGGCTGTTGTACTCGGAGATTGGGGAGGAGCTTCGGCTCTGTAGCAGGGATTCTCCGTACCTCAGGGGTATTAACATTGCCAAGTGTCATGATTTGAACATCTATCTGCATCTCGTTGACGGCTTTGTCAGTTCCACATGTCCCTTTAGGTCCACTGCCAAGAGGTTTCTCCGCCATTAAATTTTGTACACATTTTTCTGTAAGAATGACTCTGTAAATACCAGGGATGATTGAAAATGAAAAATTGTGAAAAAGAGAGAGCCAAGATAACTAAATTTGTGACACGTGGACATCATTGTTTGATATGATCATTTTAAGTGTTCCAGTGCAGGGCTTTATTTTTGGGAATGTACGATTCGATGACTGATTTTATTATACATATTCTTTTGGTTTTGTCCTTTATATAGTTTGGTGGCGTAGAAGGGGGAAAGGGTAATTTGCAGATAATTTGAAGAAAGAAGGTAATAATAATAAAATATGAAAAGAGTTGGCTGAAAAAAGAAAAGCAGAAATGGGGAAGTAGTATAATAGTTTTACGAAAAGAAAGTTGTGAGTGAGCACATAATGGGAAACGAAGGACCCATCAGATGGCCCCAATCGGTGTATTTTTGAGTTCTAAGTAGAGAGCATGCGTGCTTTCCACCATTGAGGTTCGCAATGTCCACTTCAAGTTGCTAAGGAAAGCTACTTCCAATACGTGAAGGTTAATAATGCCAACATGTTTCCGTGTAAGTAATACATTTGAATAATCTTCCATGACAAAAACAATTGCTCTTACCTATAAGGAAACCAACCCAACAAGACACATTCCCCAAATTTTTACAACATTCATATTTCAGTTAGATGCATTTATCTATGTAGGATTTTTTTTTCATCGCAATATCTCTCTGCATCATCACGCCATTGCCACCCTTAGTACCCTTCTCAATCATATCCAGGAACATGGAAAAAGCTGTTGCCAATCAATAGTTTTCAATCATTTTTCATCAAGTGAAACCATCACAAGAATCCTAGCTTCACCAATATATATATATATAATGGTAAGTCAATGATCACATACATTGCATATAATAGAAAGTTGAAGTCAAAAAGTGCTTAAAAATTTAGTTACAAAAGAACAGTGGTTTTCATTGGTTAACAACGGATGGATTCGTCGGTCCCTTTCCTTCTGATAGTAACTTGTCAAACTTATATTAGGTTAGTGTGAAAAGATATAACTGTAATGTTTAATATTATATTAAAAAATAAATAAAATTAAAACTTAGAAACGTACTCTAGAAAATGTTAAGTTTGAACGTATACAAGTGTTAGGCTCTTACGCACAATGATATAAATAATATATTACAAAGTCTCGGTACCCATATCTAGTTATTCTTCGCAATCATCTTATCATTATTTCTTTTCTATGACGTCGTTCTTTTGTGGCTCTTGAACGAGGAAAATATTTCTTATTAATAGGATAATATTTTTATTTTATCTATCGCCTACATGTAAGTAATGCAAAAAAAGTTGAACTATGTACAAACTGATTACATTGAAAAAGTAATTTAGATTAAGCTTAACACATACCAAACCAATGGGAGATCCTTTTATTTTTTTGAAAGGGGAAATTAAATATATTTTTTATGGTGATACTAAGAGTACCCAAAAAAGTAAAATATCTTCTACAGAGTTTACTCGATTAAATGTAATGTAACATGAAAATAGGTTATAACAAAAAAAAAAAAAAATCTCCACCTCACCTGATAGACGTTTTCCAAATCTATCTCACTGTAAGCCACACAAATCCAGAATTTTATTCCACAAAAACGCATTATGTTGAAGCAAAGTTCGTTTTTGTATATCAGCCACGAGTGTTTAGAACTGTCATCATATATTATCGACCACATTCAAGAATGATGTGGCTTTAATACCTTTTATATCAGTTACACCTAGTTAGGTATTTATAGAAAAAGTTTAATTATATGCAAAATCTCACTATAAGAACATGATTGCAAAATGTAAAACTTACTATACAACATATAAAACAAAAAACATATAAAATAAATGTCCTTCTTCTGGAGCAAATGTTGCATGTAGAGTGCTCCCATAGGATTTGGTAGAAATGTAGATAAGTCCATCTATAATAATAAATATAATATGTATATCATATGTCAACAAGGATCATGCAAAAAGAAAAAAATGTTCCATCGTGTTATCCTTTGAGCTTCAAAAGTAACATACAGATGTCTTATCATCTAAAGCAAGTTTACTTTTTATATCTTCAACTATTGATTCTCAGTCTCATTCATCCTTGATCAAATTGGACTGAGTAAAATGAATTGGATCGTGAATTTTTTAATTTTTTTTGCTATAATTTGTAATTTTCAAGCATTTTTTTTAGAAATTTTAGATTACTTTTTTAAAAATAAATTATGATATTTATTATTTAAAAATACATATTTTGTTAATAAATAAATGATTATATTACAACTAACTTTATTAATAATTTTAGTTAGGTTTGGTTGGTCTTGAGTTCAATAAAAAAAGTTGTTCCCATCATTTCACTCCTAAAAAATTGAAATAGATTAAATTGAGTCTAGTTTGACTCAATACAGAGAAAACTTGTAAGAAGTTACGAAATGATACCTTATAACTATAATCACTTTATACCACTTAAATTCACTTAGGAAAAAAATAATAGTTAAATATATATATATATATATATATATATATATATATATATATATATATATATATATATATATATATTTTAAACTCCTAAAAAATGTTGTATTTAGTTTTTAAATTAAATTATAAATTATTCCGTTTTCAAACTTTATAAAAATTATGTAAAATATTTTTTTAAACAAAATACATGTAAAACTTTTTTCTTGTAATAAATGAAATTTCACATATAATTTTCACATGATATTTTACATTATTTTCATAAAATTTAAAGATAAAATATATAATTTTATAATAATTTGAGGATGAAAAACATATTTTAAAAAATTACTTCTAGAAAAATGACATTTTGGTTATTTAGAAGGTAAGTCGTGCTTACATGTAAATTTGATTATGAGTTACTTCAAGAATCTTTAGGGTTTGTGTCCGTTCAGTTGTTTCATTTTTATGGTCGACCAATTGTAGTAATGTATAATTTCGGTTGTACGGACAGTACATTTGTTATCACATTTTATTATTCGTTAAGTATTAAATAACTTCTGTAAAATACTATTATTAACTTCATCTAAACGTAATTTTATAAAAGAAAATAAAAAGAAATAATGAAATATAGTTTTATAAATTTAATTTAATTTACGCATAAATTAAAAAAAAAGTAGTATGAACTCCTAGAAATGAATTTATATGTAAGCTAATTACTTATAAATAAAATTATTCCATTTTTCACTTAAAAATCTCGGTGAATTAGTTTCACTAAAACTTATATACGTAAATTAATTTTTACTAATTAAAATTGATTTCATTTATTTTTAATTTTTTTCTTCTATAAGCATTTATATGAAAGTTTCTCTAAACAAATTTGTATTTACATTTATGATATCTTTGGATTGATATACAATCACATGAGAAAAAAAATCTATATCAACAAGGACCAACCAAAAAAAAAGTCTTTTTTTAACACCATCTTGACATTTTTGGAGATATATAATTGCATATAGAATCCAAAGTTGTCCAAAGATGAAATATTATGGTCATGTCCTTCTCAAAGTGCTTGCATTATCTTGGAGGACCATGCTTGACAGATTGTCTATTGAAACTAATGTGTGTAAATGAACATATTGTTTCAAGTGAGTAAATTTTACGTGTTTTATTTTTCCATGAACTGTGATACTCTTTACGTGTATTTATATTGTCTAGTAACCAATGGACTTTGTAATACTGTTATATGAGTTTATTATTGTGAAATTTGTCTAATGACATTTCTATTCTTTATTGTGTTAAGTTTAACTTTATTTTATATGGCATATAAGTGATATGATTTATGGAAAAATAACAAATTTTTAAAAATGGGTTTTAATAGATTTAAGACTTTGTTTTTTCATATTGTTAGATCGTCAATACAATAAATTTGTAATGGTTGTGTTGTCAAAACGGGTCATTCCGTTTGACCCGATTCGACTCACCACAGACTCATTTATTAACAAACCGAAACAATTTGAATCTGGTCTGACCCACCACTTGGTGGATCAAACGGGTTGACTCACTAGTTCACTTAACTTTTTTTCACCCTCTTCTCCAGGATTTTTATAACAAGTTACTTTGATTGATCAAATTTAAATAATAATAACTGGACCAATTGATATAAAAGAAATTGAAATAAAAGAATTCTATTGTTATATATTCTAAGCTATCAAACATAAAATTTTATCAATTTAGTTTAATGAGACATACGCAACCGTTTGACTAAGAAACTAAATATAACAATTAAAAATATATAGCTCAATACTTGTATATTCTAAAACTGTCATTCTTGTAAATAAGTCTAAAAACAAGATAAAACAAATGACAATTCAATCTATAATATTATCCATATATTAAATTGAAGTTTTGAATGAATAAATGCACAATATTATGCTCTTTTGTAGTTGCGCAAATGGAAAGACTGTATGTTCTTTTGCATTGGGAGCGCAACGTTTTGAGTTACAATGTTTTTGGTTTGATTGAATAATTAATTTCATTATATTACAAAAGGATTGATGAGTCGAGATCTTAGTGAACCAGGTCAAAATTGACTTTAATCAAAATTTCACATCTCAAATTTTTTTTTTCAATCTAACTCGACCTAGACCCATAGTAGGCCAAATTCACTTATAAGTCTCATTCCATTTTAACAACACTAAATTCACCTACTAAGTCAAAACATAAGAGATTATTACAAAGAGAATTGTATCTCTTAGATATAGATGACATGCAATAACCAATTATTTTTATAAAAGATAGGTGCAAGGAGTTATTTGATAAGGTTGGACAAAATATTTGTTATTAAGTTAAAACGGTTAATAGTTGAAAATTAAACTTGTGATTTGATCTTGATATATTTACTATTTGACAAAATGTTGTAAGTGATAGTTATAATATAATATTTTTTATTTAAGATCATGACCAAATGTCATGATTTGTTTAAAATTTGACTCACTTTGACTTTTAGAGAATTGATATCATTAATAATAAGGTTATATATATATATATATATATATATATATATATATATATATATATATATATATTTCAATATTTCTAATGAAGAGAATATTCAATATTTTTAAATATATACTAAACTCTTCACATATTAATATATACAAACGTTTATTATATATTATTTAAAAATTTTCACTTTTGTT